ATAGTGCATTCAATTATAAACCCGAGAATGATGAGCCCATTGATGAGATCGGAGCCTTCATGACACAGCCACTTCCCCCAACCCCACCTCTCAGCATTGCTGCTCTGGGGACGCCAAGCCTCTGACACATGAGCCTGTGGGAAGTATTTCAGAACACCTGCCACTTCCCCATTAGCCTAGGGTGTAGCTCAGCGGTAGAGCACTTGCTTGGTATGCACAAGGCCCTGGGTTCAGTGCCCAGTATCACAAAACACAGGGAGAACAGCTGGAAGATAGGACTCCTGAACAGCAAATGATGGCCGACTGCATGGAGAGGCATGGGAGCCCAGCGTCATTCAGACTCCTTGTGTGTTGGTGCAGGCGCTGCCATGACTTCCTGGGGATGGATCCTGACGGCAGCCCCTCCCTGCCGTGGTTTCCCCATGCACTCCAAGTCCTGCACTCTAAAGGTCTGCTGCTCTCCCCGTTCCTTCTCTGCACTTCCCACAGACCGCTCAGGCTACGAGCAGGTTCAAGCCCAGGTGCTCAAGGGAGGCAGGAGGGAGACCTTCTGTCTTAGTCACTTTCCTCCGCGCTGAACAAACGCCTCACACCTGCAACTAAAAGAGGGAAGGTTTAGTCTAGCTCCTGGTTACAGCTCCCTCCGAAACAGGAAGCAGCGCGCAGAGGGCCCTGGTGGGGAAAGTGCTGCTCTTGTTTCGGTGTCCAGGGAGCAGAGAACAGGTAGGCGTTGGGAAGAAGACACACCCTTCAGGTCCCTCCTCCAGGGAGAGAACCTTTTCTCCTGCAGCTCATTGTTTTTGTTTTTGTTTTTTTTTTTGTGTGTGTTTTTTTTTGTTTTCCGGTACCGGGAATCGAACTCACAACCTCGCGCTTGCCAGGCAGGCGCTGTGCCCCTAAGCTAAATCCCCAGCCACTGCATCTCGGTGTTTAAACTGCTGAATACACTTGGAGGAGTAATAAGAAGACAGAAAAGGTAAATGTAATATCTAAATCACTCTCGATCAAAATTCATACATAGCAGCCAGGCATGGTGGCACACACCTATTACTCAGGAGGCTGACGCAGGAGCATCGCCATGAGTTCGAGGCCAGCCTGGGCTATATAGTGAGTTCAAGGCCAGGCTTAACTATGTAGGAAGACCCCGTCTCAAAAAAAAAAAAAAAATTCACATGTAAGTACAAACATAACCATTTAAATTTACTTATTTATTGCCCTAGGAACTGTGCATATTTTATATCTGTGTACATAAATACAAGGCATGCAAGGACACGGAAATGTGCGTTCTCTTTTATCTGTGATGGCTTCCTTTCTCTTCTTTTTTTGGTCTTCTTCCTACCTCCTTCCATCCTGCATGGATTTGGGTTCACCTCTCTAATATTTTATGCCCATTTCAAACCCCATGTGCTGAAAACCCTTCCCAGACTGCCCCAGCCCACCTCTGCAGTGCACTGTGACTCTCCACTCCACAGACCCGGTCACTGGCAGCCTTGATTTCTCAGGGAAGCAGAGACGCGCACACTTCACTCGTCTAGCTTTCTGCAGCAGGTTTTCCTTTGGACCTAGACCTTCCCCCTCCTGTCCACGAGGATGGCGGAAGTCTTTCACCATCCTCCCTTGACCTCGGGATCTTCCTGTCCACCCAGGGGTGAGGCCCTGAGGTGGCAGGTGAGTCCAGGGTGGTCATTTGCCAGATTCGGAAGTTCTATAATGGGAGGCCCATTGTTGCCATGTGGGTTTTATAAGCAAACTAAACTAATATTGTCATTTTCATATGGCTGAATATTTATCTCCCAACTGCTTCTGAACTCAATCAGGAGGAAACAGTGGGATTTTCACTGACCCCCCCTTCTAACCCCAACAATAAAGACTTACTCTTCTTTGAAGCTGCTGTAGCAACTAGCAAAGTTCACCACACATCAGACTAGGGGATACAAAAATAGACAAGGGCCTGGGTACCCCGAGATAAGCCCTGGGAAGCTGGGGTGCAGGGGGAGTCTGCCCTCCTGATGCCAGGGACCTAGCTAAAAATGGCAACTGCGTTGTTTCATTGTTTGCTATCCACGCCAAGGTCCACATATAAACCCCTGGACCTAGATCCGCACAGTCTCCCCTTGGAGCCCCTCTCAGCCAGAGAGAGCTTTGCTGTGTTCTTCTAATGAACCACACTCTGTGTGCTCCCCACTGCTGCGTCGCTGGCGTTGTTCTTCATCATCCTCAGGACAAGAGCCTAGAGGCAGAAGGAACTGGGAGCCCTCAGCAAAAGAGCTCAGAGGTAGGAGAAAGCTGGTAACACCAGACAGGCTCTCAAAAATATTTATTAAATTAAATCAAAAGACATAATCAGGCCAGGCATGAATCCCAGTATTCTGGGAGACTGAGGAAGAATAGCAGGTTCGGGCCTAGCTTGGGCACCTTACTGACTTAGCAAGATCCTGCCTCAAAACAAAAACAAAGAAATACAAAGGCTTGGGTCTGTACCTAGTGCAAAGGCCCTTGGGTCAATCTCCAGGACTGCAAAGATTAATTAATTAATTAAATTCACAGAATATAATTTTTCTTCTGCTTCTGTTCCCATAATTTAGCTGTATCTTTGTAATGTTAACAAAATAAACGTTATTCCATAGGTAACATAAAATATTTATTTCCTATTTACATTTACACTTTATGTAAATCACTGCACATCATGTCACATATCAAAAAAAAAAAAAAGGAGAAATGCAAACATGAACCTTAAGAGCAAGTGAAGAAAGCACCTGTGTGACGTTCGTCAGCAGTCCCGCAGCTCTTGTCTCTTGCCTTTTTTGGACTTTTTGGTTGTTTCCTGACGAATGGTGTCATATTCCAGTATGGCCATTCGGGAAAGTCTCTGCAAGTATTCAGATGGTGCTCCAGTGAGAGGGTCACTGAAGCCAGGATCTAGAAGGAGAAAAGCAGCTACTAAAATTAAACTAGGCATGCACGAATAATTCTATGACATACAGTGAGTGAAATACCTACTCTACAAATGACTATAAATACTACTAGATCTTCGTATAACACGTACTTTGAAAAAGAAATACCAGTGCCTCCTTTCTCAAATGCCTCCTGTGACTACGATAGTAAGTCACCTCAAAAAATATTTAACAGGCCAGGCATTGTGGCCCATGCCTGTAA